CCCCTCCTATTTATCCTCTTTTGCGTTTATTCACTTTTCCCCTATTTCACCCCCGCTCTAACTTGCACTCTTCCATCGGCTACACCGGTCGGTCAGGAGTCCAGTTATTTCGTTGGATTTTGGCTAGGGGAGACCGTTTCGCCAAGGTGCTCAATTGCCGCAACCGCGAGGTGGTATTCACCTCGCGGACCGGTTCGGATCACGCTGCCATCCAGGGAGCGGCCACCGCGCTGGAAGAAACCGGACGCCACGTCATTACCTACCACCCTCCAGCAACCGAGCACCATCCGTATCCATCCACGCCTGCCAGGTACTGGAAAATCGCGGTTGGGAGGTGACCTATTTGCCCGTTGACGACTACGGCTGGGTGGACCCCCAGCGCGTTTATAACGCAATTACCGCCGAAACCACACGTCGTCATCCGTTATGTCCGGGGCGGGGGGGGGGGCAACAACGAGATGGCACCACAACCCCCTCTCCGAATTTCTGCTTCTGCCGCCGTGAAGACCAGGGGCCAGGAGCTTAACCGCACCATCGTAATGCACACCGATGCCGTCCAGGCCGCCGGTTTCCTGGATCTGGATGTGCGGCGGTTGGGTGTCGACATGATGAGCCTGTCGGGGCACAAGTTCTACGGGCCCAAGGGCGTTGGTGTACTGTTCCTGCGGCGTGGTGTGCCTTTCCTCCCGCTCATTACCGGCGGCGGACAGGATCGGTGAAGCGCGCTCCGCCCACCGAGAACGGGCTGGAATCATAGGTCCTCTTAACCCCCTTGGAGATTGTTCCGCCACTTCGCTGGACGCCCGTCGGCGCCCAGTGTGTCGGGTTGCGCGACCGCATCGTCGATGAAATCACGCGCCGCATTCCAGACTGTGTGCTGAACGGGCATCCGTCAGAGCGGTTGCCCAACAACCTGAACATATCGTTTGCCGGCGTCGACGGCGAGTCGATTCTGCTGGGGCTGGATCTGCAGGGCATCGCCGCCAGCAGCGGCAGCGCGTGCAGCAGTGGTTCTCTGGAACCTTCCCACGTCCTGTTGGCATTGGGGCAGACCGCCGACGTGGCGCGCGGGTCCCTGCGCATCACGTTGGGCTAGAGACACACCGACTCCAAGGTCCGAACCCGGGCTTTTGCCTTGCCATCCTTGTTACCTTATCGCGCTCCGGTTTAACGGGAATTGCCCCACTGAGTCGGGACTGGACGGGAGCCTGATGATTAGCCCAACCAATTTGCTCGCCCGCTGGTGGGTGGTGTTCGTATTGGTGGCGGTCGTGACGACTGGCGTCGCACTGGCCTGTTCGTCCCAGTCTCCCAACATCGGCAAGTTCTACAAGGGCCGTATCCTGCACATCAGCGTAGCGGCGATGGAGCGCACCGACGAACTGCGCTGGACGACTTCGCCTCGCAACGCGGCCCCAGGCAACACCGACGGCACACTCTATAAATTGACCCCGGAAAGGCCGGATCATGAGCTGGTCCTGCTGCGGGTGAAGGTGGAAAACCACACCGCCACCAACGCGGCGGTCAACGTGGACGAGCAGTCCGCCCAGTTGCGGGATTTCTTGCAAGGCCGCTACTTCCCCGTCAACGTCGGTGAGCGTGCCGAACCCGCCGGCGTACCCGAAAAACCGGGCGACCACTGCACCGTGCCCGTCAATCCGGAGAAACCCACAGTGTGCGTCGAATTCCTGTGGAACCAGACCTTCGAAGAAACCCAGCCCGACGGCGAGACCAAGCTGGTACAATATTCGCAGCAGCTACCCCAGGGCACGGGTCTGGACGGCTGGATGGTTTTCGAAGTTCCCCAGGACACCATGATCAGGTCGATCCGCTGGGCCGCGGGCGACACCGTTACCATCGATTTCTAGGCCGGGTCTTGACGTGTGCCGAATCGGTTCCGCCGGTCGGTTGACGGGCCCGGCGGCTGGCTGGTGGATGGCCATCGTCAGCGCTGCGTCGCCATGAACCGCCCGCCCAGCGCCAAGACTGCGCCGCCCACCTGGCGTCGTTTGTTCCACTTTGTAGCCGCCAGCGCAACTACCCTGCTGGCGTTCGCCATCCCCGAGACGCAGTACATGCTGATACTCGGCAGCGGTGCGCTGCTGTCCCTGGCGTTGGAGACCGGCCGGTTCCGGGTTGGCTGGCTAAACCATTTCTTTTTGCGGGTATTCGCGCCGATTCTGAAATCTTCCGAAACGGCGGAGATAACCGGTGCAACCTACTTCCTCATCGCCGTGTTCTTTGCATTCTATTTCTTCGGCCCGGGCGTGGCGATTCCGGTGTTGCTCTTCGTGGCTGTCGGCGACCCGGTGGCCGCGCTGGTCGGAATGCGCGCGCCGGGCCCGCGGCTTTGGGGTAAATCGCCAGTTGGGTCGGCGGCCTTCGTCGTGGCAGCGCTGACGGTTTGGGCGGTGGTGTCGGTCCTGGGCTACGGCCAATGGACCTGGGCGGTGGTGGCAACCGCCTTCGTTGCTGCCGCGGTGGAATTGGCCCCGATACCCGTCGACGACAACCTGACCATCCCGCTGATCGCCGGCGCAATTATGACGCTATTGACGCTGGCCGGACTGTAACCCGCCCGCGCCGGTATCGCCGCACCGACCCGGTCAGACTGCCGCGCCGTCGTATTCCAGAACCTCGGCGCGCTGACGCTGGAAGTGCAGGTAGGCGTTACGGTTCATCGAGGGTCGGAACGACGCGATCACCTGACGACCTTTCGCGCCGCCTTCGGCCAGCAAGTCGATGACCGACATCGCCATTATCTTGGCCGGATTCACCACTGCCTGCTCGTAGTTGGTAATCAGATACTCGTTGCTGTGTCCGGCGCCCTGTGCGCCACCCGTGTAGGGATGGACCGATGGCAGGATATGGCTAAGGTCGCCCATATCGGTAGAGCCGCCGCGATTGCGCGATGCGGGCATCATCAGCACCCGATTTTCGCTCAGCAGGTTCGACGAATTCTGACGCATCAACTCCAGCAGGTGTTGGTCATGGCGCATTGGCAGGTATCCGGGAATGTTGGTGATGGACACTGAGGCCCCAACCGCCATCGCTCCGGACCTGAAACAACGGTCAACTATGTCGGAATTGCGAACCACCGCCTCCGGTGTGCCAGACCGCACCCTCCATTCCAGCCTCACGTCGGACGGCACTGAGTTAACCGCCTGACCGCCGGCGGTCATGATGCCGTGAATGCGCACGGTGTCCTGCTCACGGTACAACTCGCGGTTGGCGTTGATGGCCTGTAGCGCGAAGGTTGCCGCGTTCAGCGCGTTCACGCCCAGGTGCGGCGCGCTGCCGGCGTGGGAGGCCCGTCCGCTGAAGCGCACGTATTTGACGATATGCCCGTTACTTGTGCCCCCCATGGCGAACGAGTGTGCCCCCATGTCGCTGGCCGTGTGGCACATCATTGCCATGTCCACATCATCAAATTCGCCCAGGCGAATCAGCTCCTGCTTGCCCCCCAGGAACTCGATCTTGCCGCTATCCCGTAATTCCAGCCGGCGCGCCACTTCGATGAACTCTTCAGCGGGCACCGCAAACGGTACAATCTCGCCGTTCAATTCAGCCAGCACTTCAGGTTGGGTCAGGCCAACCAGGGCGCCAATCATCATTCCAATCTGGCAGTGATGGCCGCAGGCGTGGGCGGCGTTGGTGTCGGCGGCGGCGTGGGGATGGCCGTCGACGATTAGGCTGTCCAGCTCTCCAATGATGGCAACCCGGGGCCCGTTTCCCGCGCCGCCCTTCACAGTACCCTTCAGGCCGGTCAGCGCCAGTCCCGACCGGAACTTGATGCCAAGTTTGGCGAACTGCTCGGCCACCACCCGCGCGGTCCGGTACTCGCTGTAGCCGGGTTCCGGGTTGTTGAGAATGTCTTTCGCGACGGCAATCAGGTCATCGGAACGCCGGTCGATAGCCTCACAGGCCGCGGCTTTCAGTTCTTCTCGTGTTGGCATTGGTGTGGGCCTGCGGGTCGAGTGTTATCGGCGGTGGTAATAGCGGCGGACTATGGCGGCACGCTAGGCGTCGAAGAAGGTTTCCTCGGATGCCATCGACCGCATGAATTTCACGTATTCGCGAGAGGTCATTTCCGGGCGGTGGTTGGCAATAACCTGACGGGCTTCAGTGGCTCCATCGGCCAGCAGGTCGATCACGGTCGCAGCCATGGACTTGGCGGCGGTGATGACGGCCAGCTGGTAATCCTGGACCACGTAGTCCGCCCCGTGGCCGAGGCCGGTGGCGCCGCCAACGTAGGGGTGGATCACCGGCATCAGGTGGCTTACGTCCCCCATGTCGGTGCTGCCGGTGCGGTGTTGGATTTTAGCCACGTTCTCGGAGCCAACCAGGGTGTTGGCGTTGGCCTCGAAAATGCCCGCCATCTTCTGATTCTGCATCAACGGTAGGTAGCCGGGGGATGGTCTGGATATTTACCGTTGCACCCATCGCCATTGCGCCGGCACGCAACGCACGGTCAACCTTGCGGTTGGCGTCCGTGATTGCTTCCAGCGTGCGACCGCGCACGAAGGTCTCCATCCGCACATCTGCGGGAACCGCGCTAACGGCCTCCCCGCCCTTGGTGATGATGGGATGCACCCGCACGGTATCGCTATCCAGAAAGGTTTCCCGGTTAAAGTGGATGGCCGTCAGCGCCAGCGTCGCTGCGTTCAGCGCGTTGATGCCCAGGTGCGGCGACCCGCCGGCATGGGCGCCCTTGCCAATGAACTGGATTTTCTTGGCCAGTGTGCCGTTGCTCGTGCCGCTGATGCACAGCTGCTTTTCGGCGGGTGTGCTGGTGGTATGCACCATCATGGCCAGGTGAACGTCGTCGAACTCACCCAGCCGGATGAACTCCGGTTTGCCGCCCAGAAATTCAATCTGACCGGCCCGCCGCAACCCGTCCCGGTACTCGATCTCGATGTATTCCTCGGCCGGCATTGCGATGGGAATGATGCGCCCGCTCAGGTTAGGCAACACGTCCGCGTGCATCAGACCCATGGTGGCGCCCAGCATCATTCCGATCTGACAGTGGTGGCCGCAGGCGTGGGCGGCGCCGGTGGCCGAGTTGGCATGAGGATGCTCGTTGACGATCAGGCTGTCCAGCTCGCCCAGGATGGCCATGGTCGGGCCATCGGTGCCGCCGATTATCTCGCCGCGCAACCCCGTCATGCCCAGGCCGCTGCGGAAGGGAACGCCCATCTGCGCAAACTTTTCGCCCACCAGCGCCGCCGTTTTGAACTCGCGAAACCCCGGCTCCGGATTGGCCAGAATCTGCTTCGACAAGTTGATCAACTCGTCGGCGCGCTGGTCAATCTCGGTAAAGGCCTTGTCCTTCAATTCCTGCTTGGTAGGCATCCCATCACTCCGGGGCGCGTTACGCACTAATGGCGGCGCGACGATGGTAGCACACCATGCGGACGTTGCCTACTGAACCGGCGGCTCACGCATACCTACTCTGTCATTGGGGGGAGCATCGCGACGTGGCAATCCCGATGAGGCTGAACACACGTCGACGAACCGCCGCTGCTCCCGCGATGGGATTGCCGCGCTACGCTCGCAATGACAATGCGGGTACGCGTGAGCAACCGGCGGGCGTTGCCAGTGGCACATCCGGCCCTCCAGTTGCCACCAAACGCCTGCGGTATAATCGGGGTATGCCCCTCCGAGTCGTCATCGCCCCCCAGGCCTTCAAGCAGAGTATCGGCGCTCGCGATGCTGCCCTCGCCATCCAGAGGGGTGTGTTGCGCGCCATCCCCGACGCCGAAACCACGCTGATTCCGGTCGCCGACGGCGGCGACGGCACACTGGCTGCGCTCATCGAAACCACCGGCGGTCGTTTCTTCGACGCCCCAGTTACCGGCCCGTTGGGAGAACACCGCACCGCGCAGTGGGGCGTCATGGGCGACGGGCGCACCGCCGTCATCGAGATGGCCCTGGCCTCCGGTTTGGCCCTCGTGCCCGACGACCGCCGCAATCCCCGCACCACCACTACCTTCGGCACTGGTGAGCTAATGCGCGCCGCGCTGGACGGCGGCTTCAATCGCATCATCGTCGGTCTGGGCGGCAGCGCTACCAACGACGGTGGCACCGGCATGGCAGCGGCTCTGGGCGCGCGTTTCCTGGACGCCAGCGGCGCCGAGTTGCCCACCCGGCGGCGCGGCGCTATCCGGTCTGATTCGCATCGACACCACCGGCCTGCATCCCGGTCTGGTTGACGCCACCATTATCGGCGCTACCGACGTTACCAACCCACTGTGCGGCGACACCGGAGCGTCCGCCATCTTCGGACCACAGAAGGGAGCCACTCCCGAAATTGTCGTCGAACTCGACCAGTGCCTGGCCAACCTGGCGCGCGTCGTAGCGTCCGACCTGGGCGTGGATGTGTTGCATACTGCCGGGTCGGGAGCCGCTGGCGGCCTGGGAGCCGGCCTGATTGCCTTCACCAACGCCGAATTGCGCTCCGGCATCGATATGGTGTGCGACGTGCTGGACTTCGATAGCCACGCCGCCACCGCCGATCTGGTAATCACCGGCGAGGGCCGCGCCGACCGCTCCACCGCCTTCGACAAGGCCCCGGTGGGCATCGCCCGCCGCAGCCGGGCGTTCGGCGTCCCTACCCTACTCCTGGCCGGCGGTTTGGGATCCGGCTATGACGTGCTGTATGACCACGGCATCGACGCGATCATTTCCATCGCCGAAGAACCGACCGATCTGGCATCCAGTCTCGCACAGGGGGCGGAATTGCTGGAGCGCGCCGCCGAACGGGCCTTGCGCCTCTACAACCTCGGTAAAAACGCGCAGCACTGACGCATTGGGCACGGGAATGTTCATCCTGGAGAGCGTCCAATGGTTGCCCCGCCAGCCCGATGAAATCTTTGATTTTTACGCCGACGCGTTCAACCTGGAGCTGCTCACGCCGTCGTTGCTCCATTTTCGCGTGCTTACCCCGGCCCCGATCAAAATGGTCGCCGGGATAGAAATTGATTACCGTCTGCGATTGCACGGCTTCCCCATGTCCTGGCGCAGTCGCATCACCCAATGGGACCCGCCCCACTCCTTCGTGGATGAGCAAATCAGCGGCCCATACCGCTACTGGCATCACCTGCACACCTTCACGCCCGCCCGTGGCGGGACGCTGGTGCGCGACGTTGTGGAATACTCTGTTCTCGGCGGCTGGCTAACCGACCGCCTGCTGGTGCGCCGCGACCTGAACCGAATTTTTTCCTATCGTCAGGAACGATTGGCCGAGATATTCGGCGGCAATGTATAGACCCAGGCGCGTCACTCGTATCCACATTAATCTGTCATTGCGAGGAGCGCCCGCTGATCCCGAGCTCGTCGAGGGACGTGCAATCTCGATGAGGTCGAAGACACTTCGGCGAACCACCGTTGCTACGGCGACGAGATTGCCACGCTACGCTCGCAATGACAAAGTCGGTACGCATGAGGCCTAGGCGCGTCACTCGTATCCACATTAATCTGTCATTGCGAGCAGCTCCCGCTGATCTCGAGCTCGTCGAGGGACGTGCAATCTCGATGAGGTCGAAGACACTTCGGCGAACCACCGTTGCTACGGCGACGAGATTGCAGCGCTGCGCTCGCAATGACAAAGTCGGTACGCATGAGACCCAGGCGCGTCACTCGTATCCACATTAATCTGTCATTGCGAGGAGCGCCCGCTGATCCCGAGCTCGTCGAGGGACGTGCAATCTCGATGGGGTCGAAGACACTTCGGCGAACCACCGTTGCTACGGCGACGAGATTGCCGCGCTGCGCTCGCAATGACAAAGTCGGTACACATGAGACCCAAGCGCAGGTTGACGTTTAACCCGGGGCGACGTTCAACCACGCCAGCTGTTCAGTTGATGCGCTGCGCCACGAAGTCGACCACGATACCGGCCAACTCCATCGCGCGCTCGGCGTCCACATCGTCAAACGCCTCGGCTGGTATGCCGCTCGGCAGGAACGCCGGATAGCGCGTAATGTCGTAGTACTTGTCCAGCTGGCGCGCTTCAGCCTTGATGGTGTCGAAAAACATCTCGAAAATCTTGGCGTCCTCGCACAGGTCGATTAGAGAGGTGCCCCACACGTCCTCGGCGCCCCGCCGATACAGGTACGCCTTCACCGCTTTCTCAGCGGCCTGCTGACACAGGAAACAGGCCACGTTGAACCGCTCGCCCTGCCGGTTGAAACTGGCATCTTCCAGGTCGCGCTCCGCCTGCCGGAACCAGCGCTGGCCTTCCGCAGCAAAATCAGGCATCAAAAACCACCCTTCCTTGTGTGCAGGCCCGATACAGCGCCGGCAGCGTGTCTTTCAACTCGTCGAACTCCTCTGGAGTGTAAACCTGAGCCGTCATCCCCACCTGTGAGCCAATGTGATAGGAGAAGAAATCGGCCCGGCGGCCAAAGGGACGGTCGGTCTCGTGCACAAAAACAAAATCGATGCTGCTGCTGGGCGAATAGTCCTCGCTGACCATGTCGCCAATGAGAATGGCCTTGTGGATTCCCAAAATGGGGAACACCTCGATCATGTTGGCCAATTCCTGCTCCAGCATCTGGCGCCGAAATTGTAAAAACCCGACTCGCATTGGCATCGCCGTTACTCCTTGTCCGCCTGCTCCGTGTCCAGTAATACCAGGTGAACTTCCCGCGGCCCGTGCACGCCCACGACAATGGTCGATTCAATGTCCGCCGTCCGGCTCGGCCCGGTGATGAAATTCAGATAACTGCCCATCTCACCCTCGTTGCCGTGATACTCCAGGCGTCGCAGCGCGAACAGGTCGTCCAGCGTGCCCAGCACATCCTGGGGTCTGACGATGGCGACGTGCACCGGCGGCACCACTGACACCAGCCGGCTCAACCCCCGGCGAGGCAGCACGATCACCGATCCGGTTTCAGCGATGGCGTAGTCGGCCCCGGTGATGCCCATGCCCGTTTCGGACAGACGCCGGCGCACTGAATCGCGGTCTGACTCAGACGGATACACCGCCGGCCAGCACAACACCCCGACGCCGGCCAACGCGCCGTCAACCGGCACGCTGTCAAACACCGATTGCTCCGAGCGCGCGGCCGAGTCGATCCCGAGACTTTGTGCCAACGACACAACATAATCCACCGCATCTTCCCCCCCAGCGGCTCGCCGGACATTCCAGCCCCGGAGTTCGGCAGTGGTCGCCAAACAATTCATCAGCGCCGGCAATTCTTCGGCGATGCGCTGGCGAATCTCAACAGCCTGCGATTCCAGGGCCGCGACATCCTCGGTGAGATGCAGATAAGGAGTCTCCGGCGGCACTGCCTCGCGCCCCAGCGCATCGCGCACCGACGCCAGGAATTCAGCAGTTGGGATACCCAATGACATTTCAGAATACTCGGAATTCAACAGGATGGGATACCGTTACATCGCCCGACTGCCCGCTAACCATCACTGCGGGAGAGTTCGTCGCGCCACACGTCGCTGAACGAACGGGCCGGTGGAGCCGGCAGGTCTTTCGATGCCGTCCAGCGGGACAGGAAAGGCAGCCGCGACGGCCCGATTTTGCCGCGTTTGGCCAACGGTTTCAGGGCCAGCCGACCCAAACCGCGCGCCACTTTCAACAACGCCGGACTCGACATAACGGTTGCGAAACCACGGGCCATCAACGTGTCGGTGTCCGAGGCGGTGCGTTCCTGGGAATCCGGACTTTCCGCCAGCTTGTGCCGCAGGTGCAGCAGCATCCGGGGTATGTTTATTTTCACCGGGCAAGCTTCCCGACACGCTCCACACAGCGTGGATGCGTTGGGCAAATCCCTGGCTTGCGCCACGCCCACCAGCGCCGGCGTAACGATGGAGCCAATCGGCCCCGGGTACACCCATCCGTAGGCATGGCCGCCCACCCGTTGGTACACCGGACACACGTTCAGACACGCACCGCAACGGATGCAATACAGCGATTTCTCGCAGCTCGGGATCACGCAGCAACGTGCTGCGTCCATTGTCGACAATGACCAGGTGAAACTCCTCCGGCCCATCCTCGTCGTCGGTTCGCCGGGGGCCGGTAACCATGCTGACGTAGGACGTAATCCGCTGTCCCGTGGCCGAGCGGGGCAGCAGTCGCAGGAACACCGCCAGGTCCTGCAGCGATGGAATGACCTTCTCCATGCCCGTGATGCCGATGTGGACGCGCGGCGCGGAGGTGCACAACCGCCCGTTCCCCTCGTTGGTAATAATGACCAGCGTGCCGGTTTCGGCCACCAGGAAATTGGCGCCGCTGATACCCAGATCGGCGTCCATAAACTTTTGGCGCAACACCACGCGGGCTACTCTCGCCATCTCCTCAATGTCGTCTGAGTAGGGCACCCCGAGCTGGTCGGTGAACAATCGGGAACCTGGCCGCGCGTCTTGTGCAGGGCCGGCGCCACCAGATGCGAAGGGGTCTCCTCGGCCAGTTGGATGATGTACTCGCCGAGGTCGGTTTCGAAAACCTCCACCCCCTGAGCTTCCAGAACGTGGTTCAGCCCCAATTCTTCGGACACCATTGACTTGCTCTTGGTGGCAACCTTCAGGCCACGGGTGCGCACGATTTCGCTGACGATGGCGTTGGCCTGCGCCGCGTCCGCTGCGAAGTGAACCTGTCCGCCGGCGGCGCTGACGTTGCGCTCGAGCATCTCCAGGTAGTAGTCCAGATGCCCGATGGTGTGCTCCTTGATGCTGCGGGCCCGTTGACGCCACTGCTCCCATACCGCCGGCGTAACCTCGTCGACGGCTTCCCGGCGTGCATTATCAAAGCCCTCGCCGGCGCGCTTGAAAGCCTGGCGTAGCTGCGGGTCCACGATCGCGGCGCGCGTTGCTGGCTTAAACTCTCTGGTTTTAACGTCGGCCATCGGTCAGTCCGCCGGTCGGTCCAGCACCTGGGCGATGTGGCGTGCCTGTACCGGCAGATCGCGTCGACTCAACGCCCCGCCAATGTGCATCAGGCACCCCATGTCGCAGGCGGTGATGGTGTCGGCGCCGCTCTCAATGATGGAATCAACTTTGTCGGCCAGCATCGCTTCCGAAATGTGCGGATACTTGATGGCAAATGTCCCACCGAACCCGCAGCATTGTTCGGCATTGGGCAAATCGGTTACCGACACGCCCGACCCGTCCAGTAATCGTCGCGGCGCATCCCGAACCTCCATCTCCCGCAACAAATGGCAGGACGGATGGTAGGTCAACGTCGAACCCTCCGCACCGGCCGCAATGGGAATGTCACCCACTCCCAGCACATCCACCAGAAACTCGGTGAACTCGTACACCCTCTTCGATAGCGCCTCGGCGCGTTGCAGCAGCGCCGGGTCGCCAGCGAACAAATCCTGGTAAAACACCCGCATCATGGCGCCGCAAGATCCGGATGGCACAACCACGTAGTCGCCACCCTCAAAAGCATCCAGGACGCGCACCGCCAACCGTTTGGCCTCGGCGGTAAAACCCGAGTTGTAAAGCGGCTGCCCGCAGCAAGTTTGGCCGGACGGAAAATCCACGCTGACACCCTGCTGGCGCAATACCCGCACCACGCTCACGCCCACCTCGGGGTAAAGCTGGTCGATAATGCAGGTAACGAATAGGGAGGCCCGTTTGGGGATCGGCTGAGTCAAGTAACGCTCCGCGCGGCAGTCGTCTGGCAAGGTTAGCAGAGCGCTACCGTTCCGGCAATACGGTTCCTGCGCTCACGCGCACCTACTTTGTCATTGCGAGCGTAGCGTGGCAATCTCGTCGCCGTAGCAACGGCGGTTCGCCGACGCGTGTTCAACCTCATCGGGATTGCCACGTCGCTTTGCTCCTCGCTATGAGAGGTTAATTGTGCTACTCGCAATGACAAAGTGGATACGCATGAGGGCTCCTGCGTTGGCGTGTGTGCGAATCAGCCTGTTATTGCCAACGCGGCGCGGGGATTGGCCGCGCACTGGTCAATGACCAGTTCCCCAACCTGTCTTTCGACCACAATGCCGTTGCCGTGCCACTTGGGTCGCGGCAACTCTCGCGTTATCATATCTTCAGGAAACTGCACGGGGGGCCAAAGCGCGTATGGCATCAGGGGAATTGGGCAGAATAAACCGGCCGGCGTCGGCCAACTACGACGGCAAGCGGAAGTTGCTGCTGGCCCCGCTGGTTCAGATCCCAGCGCCGGCCGAACACATACCAGAGGAAGGCGCCGCAGCCGTCAGCCGGTACTGGGAGCAGGTGGACGTGCAGGTGCGCGCCGTGCAGAACGCCCTCGGCAGCATCACCCACGTTTATCACGAGAACATCCCGGAGGGCGGAGCAGCGGGAATGGGTTACCTGCAGGCGATGGTCCCGGGCAGCCACGCCGTCGTCCGGGCCCTTACCGAAGCCGGCGCCACCCTGGAATCCACTGAATCAATCGAGATACTGGCGGAGACGCTGGACCTGCAACGTTGCCTCATGGGGCCGTTGATGAGCCAGGCCGTGGCCGTCCGGTTGCAGGAGTGGTACGCCGAGGCCAATCGCCGTCGCTACGAATTCATCGCCAACGCCATCGACACCACCCTTGGCGAGGACGAATCCGGCCTGCTGCTGGTCAACGAACGTCACCAGGTGCAATTCCCCAGCGACGTTGAAGTGATTTACGTCGCTCCGCCGGCCCTGGATGAGTTTCGCCGCTGGTTCCAGAATTGGACCGAACAGATGCAGGCAGCTATGACTGGCCAGAACCAGGACGATCGGGAATCCGAGCCCGAACCCGAACCAGAGCGCCAGGCCGATACTGACGACGCCGGGGACGCCCGTACCTGATAACCAACCAGCCACGTCAATAGAAATCCGGCCCTGATGCTACGTCAGGGCCGGATTGATTTATCAGGTACGGGTTGTTGCCACGCTACCGGATTCAGCTACGTTAGCCGTCGACGGGAGCCCTGGCGGGAGTGCGAGGGAGTCGAACCCACCTACCCCGCTCGTCACGAGGCATAACGGATTTGAAGTCCGCAAGAGCCACCGGGCCCCATCCACTCCCAGGGTCAGACGGGTTAGCTCTCCAGCACCGCTTCAATCTTGCGCTTCAGCGCCGGCTTGGGCTGCGCGCCGATGATCTGGTCGACGGGCTGGCCGTTCTTGAAGAAAATCAGCGCCGGGATGCTGCGGATGCCGTACTTCGCCGCGATGTCGGGATCGTTGTCAACATCCAGCTTGGCTACGTTCAGTTTGCCTTCATATTCCAGCGCCAAGTCGTGGACGGCGGGGGCAATCATCTTGCACGGCCCGCACCACTCGGCCCAGAAATCTACCAACACCGGCAACTCCGAATCCATTACGCTGGCTTGCCAGTTGTCGCCGGTCACATCTATCGGTTCAGGCATCATGCCCTCCTCTACGGGTCTAATGGGTTAATCTGATTGACGTTCGGCAGCGGGCACCTTGCAGCGGTACCGATTGCGGACGCCGGATGTCGATAATATTATACCCGCCCATTCGGTCGGTCAACCGAGCCACGGTCGTCACCCGTACCACTTTGTCCTCACTCGTACCTGCTTTGTCGTCAGGCGTACCCACTTTGTCCTTGCGAGCGTAGCGTGGCAATCCCGTCGTCGTAGCAACGGCGGTTCGTCGACGTATGTTCAACCTCATCGAGGTTGCCACGTCCCTCGACGGGCTCGGGATGAGCGGGCGCTCCTCGCAATGACAGATTAAGTGGGTACGCGTGAGCTCGCCCGGCAAGGCGTGTGGGCTGCGCGATACGTGGGCTGCGCGATAAATGATAGTATGTTTCCCATGGTTGACACCGTAGTTGCAGCTTCCGCGCAGCCTCTCGAACGCGGCGACATCGTGAAATTATCCCTGCATTCCTGGGGTCGTCTCGGCGAAGCGATGGCCAGGTATGCCGACGAGGACATCTTCGTCTTTGGCGGTATACCCGGCGAAACAGTGGAAGCGGAAATTGTCGCCCGCCGCCGTCGGTACGTAGCCGCCCAGGTTACCCGGGTTATCGAGCCATCGCCCAACCGCGTGGATCCTCCTTGCGGCTCCTTTGGCCAATGCACTGGATGCCAGTGGCAGCACGTCGACTACCAGGCGCAGCTCCGCATCAAGACCGCCATCGTGCGCGACGCCCTGGAACGCATCGGTTCGTTCCACCAGCCACCGGTTCTGGAGGCAATCCCAGCGCCCGAACCGCACGGTTATCGGAACCATGCCCGCTTCACCGTGTGGCGTTCCACCGGGGCATTGGGATTCGTACACCGCGAGCGCCGCCGCTTCGTCCGCATCGACCGATGTATGCTGATGCACGATGGAATCAACCACCTGCTTGCTGAGTTGCAGGGCCACGCCTCCGAGACCTCGCAGCTGTCCATCCGCGCCTCCTCCGTAACCGGCGACTACCTGATACAGCCCACGCTGGATGACCCGGAAATATCGATAACCAGCGGACAGAAAAAGTATCGGGAGTCGGTGGCTGGCCAGGAGTTTTGGGTCGCCTCGCCGTCCTTCTTCCAGGTAAACGTCGCCCAGGCCGAGCGACTGGTGCAGTTGGTGCGCGACGCGTTGCAATTGACCGGTCGCGAAACGGTGCTGGACGCCTACGCCGGCGTGGGCACCTTCGCCGTGCTGCTGTCTCCCGATGCGGAACAGGTTATTGCCGTAGAGGAATCGACCGCCGCCATCGCCGATGCCCTCGAAAACGCGACCGGATTGGCAAACGTGCGGTTCGTAACCGGCAAGGTGGAAGAAGTGCTGCCCGACCTCCAGGAAACTCCGGACGCGGTGGTGCTGGACCCTTCCCGTTCCGGATGCCAGCAGCCGGCGCTGGACGCGTTGCTCCGACAGGCCCCCAAACGCATCGCCTACGTGTCCTGCAACCCGGAAACCCTGGCGCGAGACCTGCGCACCCTGTGCCGCCGCTATCGCGTAGAGTCGGTTCAGCCGGTGGATATGTTCCCGCAGACCCATCACGTCGAATGCGTGGCCACGTTGACGCTGAAACCGACCGCCGCGGATGTCGTGTTGGCTTCCGCGTCACCGCGCCGACGCGAACTGCTGTCCGGTTTGGGCATCAAATTCCGGGTGGCGCCATCCAATATCCCAGAGGATCAGCTCCCGGACGAATCTGCTACGGACATGGTGCGCCGCCTGTCTCGCGAGAAAGCCCTCGCCTCCGCGGCTGCCGAAAACCCGGTCGCGGAAAACCCGGCTCCCGGTTACTACATCGGAGCGGACAGTACCGTCGTGCTGAACGGCGAATCCATCGCCAAGCCGGCCGATGCCGAGGATGCCAGGGCCATGCTGACCCGTTTGCGAGGCACGCAGCATCAGGTAATTACCGGAATGACCATCTTCGACGCCGCCACGGGCCGCTGCCTCACCGACTCCATGTCGGCAGACGTGTTGATGCGCGAGTTCACCGACGCCGAGATGGAACACTCCATCGCCAGCGGCACGCCAATGGACAAGGCCGGCGCCTACGCCATTCAGGATGATGACTTCCGGCCCGCCAACCTGCTGCACGGGTGCTATTCAAACGTGATGGGTTGGCCCGTGTGTCGCGTCGTGGAGATGCTCGCCGACCTGGGTTACAACCTGCCGTCCGACACCGACGCTCCGTCCCCGACGGCTGCCTTAGCGAGTGCCCGTTTCGCGTACCGCATGAACTTCCGCATGACCCTCCGAATCAGCCATGAACGTATTCGGCATCGGCACGATGGAAATGGTGGTGATCCTGCTGGTTGCGTTCATCGCCCTGGGGCCGGGCAAAACTATGGACGCCGCCCGTACGATCGGCAAGGTGGTGCGGGAAGCCCGGCGCACGTTCACCGACGTGATGGACGCTGCATCCGTCACGGATGATGACATCAACCAGCGTGATGCGCCCTCCGCAACCCCACCGCCGGATGCTCCGTCCCAGCCGCCGTCTGCACCCCTGCCCATGCCGGCGCACCTGCAAGCCCAAGACGACGCGACGCCACCAGTCCGGACCGAGGCATCGGTCGAGTCTCCAACCGATCCAGACACCCGCGTATCCTGACGACGATGAGCGAACCGGTTTCGCTGGGGGAACACTTCCGGGAACTGCGCACCCGCCTGTTGATCTGCGTCGTGGCGCTACTCATCGGGGCCGCTGTTGCCTTCTACTTCTACCTGGATATTTTTGAGTTTCTGATCCGACCCGCCCGGGAAGTGGCCGGCGACGACGGATTCCGACCCATCTACACCGAGGTGACCGAGTTGCTCGGAACCACGGTGCGGGTGTCGTTGCTGGGCGGCTTCGTACTGGCGCTACCTGTCATTTTGTACAACGCCATCCGGTTCGTCGCGCCCGGTTTGACCCCGCGCGAGCGGAGAATACTGTTTTCCTTCCTCCCGGCGGCGTTGCTGGCGTTCGTCGGCGGAATGGCGTTCGGATACTTCGTGATGATTCCACCAGCCCTGAAATTCCTGCTCACCTTCGGTGGAGACGTCGCCGAACCACTCATCCGCATCAGCAACCTGATCAGCATTATGCTGCGGCTGCTGTTCTGGCTGGGCATTTCTTTCGAAACTCCCTTGGTTATGTACGTATTGGCTATCCTGGGCATCGTGCGGGCTGGCGGTTTTGCCCGGTTCCGCCGCCTCTGGCTGGTAGCATCTTTCGTAATCGCCGCCGCCATCACGCCCACCATTGACCCGGTCAACCAGGCCATCGTCGCCGGCCCGTTGATCATTCTGTATGAGCTGGGAATCCTGCTGGCCCGTTTTGCCGGCCGCCGCCGCTCTGCGTCCACAGCCTAGAATGCCAGCGCCGCCAGCGAATAACGCGGGCACAAAAAAGGGCGCGGTGTACCCGCGCCCTAATTCCAGCAATTGTTGACCGTCGGTCAGGTGTTGTGTTCGTTGGTTCCGGTCTCCGTGCCAGGTTTTTCGTCCTCGCCGGTTACCGACGTTTTGAACGATCGAATGCCCTTGCCCAGGGCAGAGCCAACTCCCGGCAACCGAGAGGCGCCGAAAACCAGCAGCAGCACCAGCAGGATGATGAGTAGTTCGGGGAGCCCGAGACCAGCAATGCGCATCGTCGTATCAACTCCAATTCAGGTTCCACAATTCTAACAGACCCATCAGGCGACCGCCACCGCCGCGCCCTTGCGCGCACCCATATCGTCAATCCACACCAGCCGTTTGTCATCGCGAGGAGCGCCGGCCCTTGGTCATTGCGAGGAGCGCCCGGTCATCCCGCGCTCGTCGAGGGACGTGGCAATCTCGATGACGTTGAGCGCCCGCCAGCCAACCACCGCTGCTACAGCGACGAGATTGCCGCGCTACGCTCGCAATGACAAAGCGGATACGCGTGAGAGAGTACACCAACTTGCCGCACCCCACTACGGACGCTATAATGCGTCACTCAACCGTGGTGGGAAATCGTCGGCGAGCAATCCCGCGTTTGCGCCTGCGATTGTCTGAATCAATCCATTGCTCACACCCCAACCTCAGGCAGTCTGGATAGATTAATGGCAACCGATTCCGAGTATGATGTAGCAGTTATAGGTGGCGGGCCGGGCGGATACGTTGCGGCCATCAGAGCCGGCCAGCTCGGCCTCAGATCCTGTGTCATCGAGCGGGACGCCCTCGGTGGCGTCTGTCTTAATTGGGGCTGCATCCCCTCCAAGGCCCTGCTCAAAAACGCCGAAATCCTTTCCTACATCCATCGGGCCGACCAGTTCGGACTGCATTTTGACAACTTCCGCGCGGATTACAGCGTTGCAGTAGCACGCAGCCGGCAGGTCGTCGACCGGATGACGCGCGGCATCGGTTTCCTGCTCCGCAAAAACAACGTCGACCACATTGCCGGGCAAGCCACCATCGCCTCGCCAACCGCCATTGACGTGGCCGGAGCCGATGGCCAAACCTCCCGCGTGAGCGCGCGCAACATCATTGTGGCCACCGGAGCCAGGCCCCGCAGCATACCGCCCCTACCGATTGACGGCCAACGCATCATCACCAGTCGGGAAGCCATCGTTGCTGACGACGTACCGGATTCCATGGCCATCGTCGGCGGCGGCGCCATCGGCGTGGAATTCGCCTACGTGTACCGAATGTACGGCGCAAAAGTAACCATAATCGAACTGTTGCCCCGCCTTGTGCCCAACGAAGATGAAGAAATCAGCCAGCAGCTGGAACGGGCCTTCGGTCGCGAGGGCATTGAGCTGCGTACCGGCGCCGGTGTTACGGCGGCCAGCGCCGATGCAACCGGCGTTACCCTTACCATCGACAAGGACGGCGCCACCGAAACCCTGCGCTACGACAAGGTCCTGGTCGCCATCGGCGTGCAACCCAACACCGAATTCCTGGGCCTGGAAGCCGTCGGCGTGGACACCGAACGGGGTTACATCAATATTGACGACCGCATGGCTACCAATGTGCCCGGCATCTATGCCGTCGGCGACGTTACCGGAAAGCTGGCCCTGGCTCACGTCGCATCGGCTCAGGGCGTTACCGCGGTCGAGGCCATCGCCGGCGAAGAAACTCAGCCGCTCGACTACACAATGATGCCACGCGCCACCTACTGCCATCCGCAGGTGGCATCTATGGGCTTGACCGAAGCCCAGGCCCGCGAGCAGGGTTACGATGTCAAAATTGGCCGGTTCAACGTCCAGGCCAGCGGCAAAGCCGTGGCAATGGGCGAAAACGACGGCCTGGTCAAACTGGTCATCGACGCCAAATACGGCGAATTGCTGGGCGGACACCTGTGCGGCCCTGAAGTTACCGAGCTCCTCGGCGAACTGTCAATGACCAAACTGCTGGAAGGAACCACGTTGGAACTGGGTTGGGCAGTGCACGCTCACACTAAAGCGCATCTGCGCGAATGGTGCACGGCAGCGCGCGCTGGTACGCAGCGAAGGCTTCGCGTCGCATGCATCATAGTACATCACAACTACTATTGGTGCGCGAAGAACGACTGCCCAGAGGAAGGGATATGCTGACACAACACTCAGCGAAGTGTTCCGCCAATCTTTCCATGGCCGACCATGCTGGATAGTCTACCGGCTAGATGAAGCTCATCCGCGAGTTTGAGCGAGAGTCGGAGTCGGCGTACACAGCGAGCGAGGCAAGCATCAGGGCATTTTTGGGTTGGCACGTTTATACAGCAACGGCGAATGAAGCGCATATCGCCGTGGTGCCATCAAAGTCACCATGCGACGCTGGCGACGATTACTGTGGTGACAGCACAACTCGCGACCAGGGGCCAGGGACAGGCTGGTGCGCGGCATTACTAACTCAGCAAGGACGAATGATGGCTGAGTTGATGGGCAAGGCCACCGGGTGCAGCAAGGGCAAAGGCGGCTCCATGCACATGTTCAGTTCCGAGCTGAACTTCATGGGCGGCTACGCCATCGTGGGCGGACAGATGCCCATTGCCGCCGGTATCGCGCTGGCGGTGCAATATCGCGGCGGCGATCAGGTGGCGTTGTGCTTCTTCGGGGACGGCGCCGTCAACGAGGGCGAATTCCACGAGGCAATGAACCTGGCGGCCATCTGGAAACTGCCGGTGATTTTCTTCTGCGAACACAACCTCTACGGCATGGGCGCTTCGTCCCAGGAAACCCTGGTGATGTGGGATTCGCTGCACGAAATGGCCGCCGCCTACGGGATGGCGCGCTACGAGGTGGACGGGAACGACGTGATCGCCGTGCGCAGTTTGATGCAAAAGGTGAACGCGGAAGTCAGGGCGGGCACCGGGCCGGCGTTCATCGTAGCCAAAACCTATCGACTGCGCGGACATTCGGTCGCCGACCCGGCCAACTATCGGCCCGATGCCGAGGTAGAATACTGGATGTCCCGCGACCCAATTCCCCGCTTTCGCGACTGGCTAACCGAGGAAGGCATCGCCACCGTCGAGGACTTTGAAGAAATCGACGCCAGCGTTGAGGAGGAAGTCGTCCAGGCCGCGGAATTCGGTGAATTATCTCCCTGGCCGGCCCCTGAAGCGCTGTACGAAGGCGTTTACGCCGACCGACCGACCGAAGGTATTCCTGCGTAATCGTACTGCACTTCCAACGGGTTGCACCAGATACCCGGATATTCTGCGACGAGAGGAAACACCATGCCGGTCATCACATATCGGGACGCCGTTTCTACCGCACTGCGCGAAGCCCTCGACGAAGACGAGCGCGTTTTCCTGATGGGAGAGGACATCGGCCCATACGGCGGCGCTTTCGCCGTTACGAAAGGGTTTTGGGAGCAGTACGGAGCACGCCGCATCAAGGATTCACCCTTGGCTGAGTCGGTAATCGTGGGCGCCGGCGTGGGGGCGGCGATGGCTGGCCTCCGCCCGGTGGTCGAACTGATGACCATCAACTTCAGCCTGCTGGCCATGGACCAGATCGTCAACCACGCCGCCAAAATCCGGTATATGTCTGGTGGCCAGTTCACCATCCCCCTGATCATTCGCACTGTCACCCGGCGCTGGCGCATCCGTTGGAGCCACCCACTCGCAGTCCTTCGAGGGTTGGTACGCATCCGTGCCCGGCCTCACGGTCGTCACACCCTCCACTCCCGCGCGATGTGATCGGTCTGTTCCGCACCTGCCGCGACCTCAACGACCCGGTGTTGTTTGTCGAACACATCCTGCTCTATAGCACTCGAGGCGAGGCCCCCGAAACCGGCGATTTCCGCATTCCCATCGGCCAGGCAGACTTGCGGCGCACCGGCAAGGACATCACCATCTGCGGATACTCCCGCATGGCCCTCGTCGCGGAACAGGCCGCCGAGCTGCTGGCTCAGGATGGCATCGAAGCCGATGTCATCGATCTGCGCTGCCTCCGCCCGCTGGACATGGAAACCCTGGTCAACTCGGTGAAAAAGACCCACCACGCCCTGATGGTGGAAGAAACCACCCGCCTGGGCGGATTTGCCGGCGAGTTGGTGTCGCAAATTCAGGAACAAGCCTTCGACTATCTGGACGCGCCGGTAGGCCGCATCGCCGGCGCCGAAGTCCCCATGCCCTACTCGTTCCCGCTGGAGCAGCTCGCGATACCGGATGCCCAACGCGTGGCTGCCGCTGCCCGCAAGGTTCTGAACCGGCCGGCATAGCATCAGTGATGCTACCGTTGAGCCCCATTAGAGTATGGCACGAACAAATAGTGGACGCGGATGCGGCGGTTGCCTCGAGCTTGTGTTCGTACTGGTCGTGTTCGGTTTGCCGGCGCTGATCGTTTTTTTGTTGACTAAATCGAAGCTGGATTCCCACAATCATAGTCGGAATATTGACTTGGATTCTCGTGGGCGGGTGGTTCGTCATCTTCGATCCGATACCCTGATGTGCTAACGCGCCCTACCCGTTGTAAGAACAAAAAAGGAGGACTCCGTGGCTACCAACATTGTGATGCCGCAAATGGGCTACGATATGCGGGAAGGCACCGTCGTTCGCTGGTACAAACAGGAAGGCGAAACGGTGGACCGGGGCGAAGTCATTGCCGACATCGAAACCGACAAGGCCACGGTGGAGTTTGAAGCCTACGCTGGTGGTGTCCTGGGCCGAATCGTAGCCGAGGCCGGTGTCGCCGTGCCCGTGGGCAACCTCATCGCCATCATCACCCAGCCGGGAGAGGTTGTCCCTGACGCGCCGGAGCCGGCCGCGCCGGCTGCTGAACCCGCCCCGGCCGCAGCGCCTGCTCCCGCTCCTGCGGCAGTTCCCCCAACGTCCGCCCCCGCTCCGTCAGCAGATGGCGAGGTGCGCGCTTCCCCCATCGCCCGCCGTTTGGCCCGCGAACAGGGTATCGACCTGTCCCTCTTGTCCGGGACCGGCCCCAACGGGCGCATCGTAGAATCAGACGTGCTCAACTACCAACCCGCCCCGGCGGTCGCGGCCCCAGCAGCGGCGGTCGCCGCCGCGCCGGCCGACTCTCGCATCGAACTTACCCGGATGCGTCAGACCATCGCCCGGGTTACCGCGGACAGCAAGGCCACCGCGCCCCATTTCTACGTAACCGCGGAAATCGACATGGGCAAGGCAATGGCCCTGCGCCGCGACGTGAACGATGCCGCTGACCCCGACAATCGCGTGTCGGTCAATGACCTCATGGTCAAAGCGTGTGCCCTGGCTCTGGCCCAGCACCCCAAGTTCAACTCATTCTTCCGTGGCGACCACCTGGAAGTCCACGGCGCTATGAACATCGGCATCGCCATTGCACTGGACACCGGGTTGATCCTGCCCGGCATCAGCAACTGCGAGAGCAAGAGCCTGCTGCAAATCGCCACTGCCACCAAAGACCTCATCGACCGCGCCAACAACGGCACGCTGCGCAACGACGAATACAGCGGCACCACGTTCAGCATCAGCAATATGGGTATGTTCGACGTGGAGAGTTTCACCGCCATCATCTATCCGCCCCACGCGGCCATCCTCGCTGTGGGCAGCGTCAAGGAGCAGCCGGTCGTTCGCGGCGGCGAGCTCGCAGTTGGTCAGATGATGAAAGCCACCCTCTCTACCGACCACCGTGTCGCCGACGGCGCGGAGGCAGCCGTGTTCCTCATGGAGATCAAACGGGTACTGGAAAACCCGGTCGCTCTCCTTTTGTAACCGACACCACATCGTCGCAACGCACAACCGCAAGCCCTGCGTCGACCCAATTCGGGCAGGGCACAGAATGAACATTCACCGGAGGCCAGCATGGCACAAATGACCGGCGGCCAGGCCGTTGTCGCATCGCTGCACGCCCAGGGCGTCGATACCGTTTTCGGCATCATCTCGGTGCACACCCTTGACCTGTTCGACGCGCTCTTCGATCGGCAGGACGACGTGCGCTTCATCGGGGGACGGCTGGAACTGGGCTGTGGCTACATGGCCGACGGGTACTCCCGCGCCAACCGGCAAGCCGGGTGTCCTGCTCACCAGTACCGGCCCCGGCGCCGCCGACTCGGTGGGCGCGATGGGAGAAGCCTATTTCTCGGCGTCGTCCATCCTGCAGGTTACCACCAACGTTGAATCCGAGTTCATCGGCACCGGCAAGATGGCCACCCACGAAACCAAAGACCAGTTGGGAATGTTCTCCGCCGTCACCGACTGGAACGCCCAAATCGGACAGATTGAATCCATCCCCGACCACTTTGTGGAGGCGTTCGTCCGTTTCCGGGAACGCCGTCCGCGCCCCATCGAGCTGGAGGTGCCCACCGACCTGCTGGGCCAGTCTGCCGATGTGGAGGTGCTTCAACCGCGGGAACCGCAGGTGCCCCAGGGCGACCCAGTTCAGGTGGAACGCGCCTGGAACCTGCTCCGCGACGCCAAACGCCCGGTGATTTTCCTCGGCGAGGAAATCCACACCACCGGCGGCGCAGATTACATAATCCGCCTCGCCGAACGACTCGGCGCCGCCGTGGTGACCGGCGACGGCGCCAAGGGCACCTTCCCCGAAAACCATCCATTGTCATTGGGCATGGCTCTGGGTAACCGTATCTGGGGACAAAACCCGGTGCTGGACTGGCTCGGCGAGTGCGACGTTGCGCTGGTGCTCGGCAGTAATCTCCCCTATCGGTCCACCTCCGGCGTGGGCCTAAAGCTCCCGAAAACCATCGTCCACGTCCTGCTCGATGGCGAGTACATCGGCAGGAACTACGACACCGAGGTGCCCATCGCCGCCAACAGCGGTGCCGTGGTGCGCCAGTTCCTCAACGCCGCCGGCGACACCGACATCGGCGCCAGCGATGCCTACCGTCGTGAAGTCGCGGAGCTGAAGGAGCAAGTTTACGAAGGACTCAAAAGCAATGGGGGCCCGAGCTCCGCGCCTGGGAATCCATCAGGGCGGTCATTCCGGACGATACCATCTTCTCCCTGGATGCCACCGTGCCGGCCAACCGCGCCGTGCGCTGCCTCCAGATGAACCGCCCGCGCAGCTATATGTACCCCCACGGTTGGGCCGGTCTCGGTTTCGGGTTTCCGGCAGCAATGGGCGCTAAGGTGGGCCGGCCGCAATCCCCCGTCGTCTGCGTAACCGGAGACGGCGGCTTCCAGTACAACGCCCAGGAGTTGGGTACCGCTGTGCAGTACGGCATCAACCCCATCGTAATGGTCTTCAACGACAGCGCCTGGGGCGTGTTGAAGGGTTACCAGAAAGACCGTGGCAGCCGCCAGATGGCAACCGATCTGGTCAACCCCGACTTCGTAAAACTGTTTGATTCCTACGGCATTGGCGGCACGCGCGTCCACAACGTCTCCGAAATGACCCGCGCCGTCCAGGATGCCGTCAGCGCTGACAAAATCCACCTCATCGAAGTCGTCATGCCCGATGGATTCCCCGCATTTTGCCAGGGTTAGCGCTTGACCACCAATCCGTGCACCAACGGGCCGCGCTGGTCCGTAACACGGGTCAACCCGGCGCGGGATGAGCCAGACCACACCGGCAGGTCAACTACAGTCGTAATGGCCCAATCGTCGCCCGGGTTTCCTGCCCGGCACCGCCGCATCTACCCGCTCTCACCGCGCGACCTCACGGCGGAACAAATCGCCGTAACCTTTGCGATGACCTCGCGCCGGCCCGAACCGTTCGATGAAATTGCGCAGCAGGTCAGCGCGGAACGGGCTGCCGATTTCAACGAACGCTGGGTGGTCGGTTACGGCCACGCCTCCGTCGCCGAACACGCCATCATCCATCTGGCCGTGGAAAATATATCGCGGCTGGCCTGCGACGCCCTGGAAGACAACCGGCTGGCGTCATTCACCGAAAAATCATCCCGTTACCAGGTGATCGACGCCGACAGTTTCTGGGTGCCTGCGGAACTAACTGCCCGGCCAGCATTGCAGAGCCAGTACATCTCGGCTTGCCGCGCCCTGTTCGACACCTACGCCTCGTTGCTGGAAGGAGTCGACACCCATCTGCGGAGCCAATTGCCGCAGCGGGAGAACGAGCGGGACGGCGGCTATTCCCTGCGCCGGCGGCGGCTCACTACCGACGCCTGCCGCGCCATTCTCCCCGCCGCCACCCTGACCAACGTCGGCCTTACCGCCAACGCCCGCACCCTGGAACACGCCATCACCAAGCTGATGTCCTCCAACCTGGCCGAAGGGCGCGACATCGGCATCGAACTGCGCGATCAGGGCCGGGAAATCGCACCCACCCTGGTCAAATACGCCGACCACAATCCCTACATCGCGGCTCGCGATGCAGCGCGCGACGGGCCGCCACCCGCCCATTTCGCAACCCGGGATTCTCAACCCGGGGCATCGGTGCGGTTACTGGATTACGACCGCGATGCCGCCTGCAAACTGGCGGCGGCTCTGTCGTTCCGCTATGGCGGCGACTACGGCGACGCCCTGGCCGGCGCTGCTGCCATGTCCGAGCCCGAACGGTTGGGCGTAATAGGGGCGGCGGTTAGCAACATCGCCCCCCACGACTCCGCGCCCCGTGAATTTGAACTGGCGGGTTACACCTTCGAGTTCACATTCGACTACGGAGCCCTACGGGAGTTTCGCCGCCACCGGATGCAAACCTATTTGTCCCAGCCGCTGACGGTGACCAACGGGTACGACCTGCCGCCACTGGTTCATGAGGCCGGCCTGGCTGGCGTGTTCGCCGATGCCGTTGCGGTCGCCGAGCGGGCTTTCCAGAGTGTCGGGGAAGCATTTCCCACCGTTGCCCAATACCTGGTAACTCACGCGCACCGACAACGCGTGGTGTCCCGCATGAGTCTCCGCGAGTGCTACCACCTGTTCAACCTGCGCTCGTCCCGTCAGGCCCACGAATCAATTCGCCAGCCGGTCGTTGAGGCGATGCGTCAGGCCGTCGCGGTGCAACCCGAACTGTTCCGCCACCTGCGGCTAAGGGATGCGCCGGACTGGTGGCCTTTCCCGCGAGAATCGGCGGGCCAATAGTCGCCCGGCCGCCTACGGGTCGGAGCAGTCCCTGGTGAATCCGCAATTGCGGCAGGTTATCTTGCAACTGCGTTCCTGCATTCGGGCGCCACAAATCTCGCAGTCCAGTCCGTCGTCGCGCGTTGGCGTCGGCGTTGGTTTAGCCTCGGGGCGGTTGGTTGACATATCAATCTTCGCTCCAGTTGGCTAGCGATTCACGTTGGGTGGAATCGGCGGGCCGCCCAGGATTCGAGCCGTCAGGAACTTTTCGCCGTTCGCTGTGGTCGGCCCGTGTCGCTCGTCGGGCATCAGCGCCACTTCCTGGAAGTCGAACACGGACTCAACCATTTCCAGCGACTGTACGCTGTTACCGTTGTCGTCATTGACAACGATGCGACCCACCAGCATCTGTTTGTCGGCGCGCACGAGCCAAACCTGGTAGGAATCCGCGGGCATCCCCGATACCATCAGAACGGCCTGTTGCCCGGTGGGGTCAACAATCAGCACCCCTTTGGACGTGGGTTCTGTCCCCATGGGCGATGTCATCGGCAGCTTCTCGGCATCAGGTTGCAACGCCATCATGGTCGCTGCCACCACGTCGGCCATCTCCTGCTTCACCAAATCTACCTGTTCGGCCCCTGCCACGACCGCTGCGTCGCTGATGGACAATGCTCCGTCCGATGCTCCCGTCGCCCCCGAAGCGGTGCTGCTGGCGGGGAGTGCCGAAAGCGGCGCAACCGTCTTTGGCAGATCGTCATGGGTGCCCGACCGCTCCCCGGCAGCCGCGTTCCTGCCGGCAACGCTGCTCGCTGATACGGCGGCGGCGACGGGTGCAATGTTGACGATGGACTCGGTAGCGGCCGCTGTGGATGACGTCATTGCTGCTTCTGCCGAAACCGCCTGCAACGCCGCGGTCAGCTGATCAATCTCGCGATCATCGGCCACGATTACCCCGATGGCGCCGGCCAGCATCAGGCTGAGCACGCCGATGGCAGTCGGGGCCAGCCAGCGTCGCAACCGCCGCGTCGACCACCGTGGGTCGGCAGGCGGCATAACCGCCAGGGGTCGAACCGCGTCGGCCGGCTGTGTTGCCGTCGACAGGACGCGGGTCTTCAGGTCCGGCGGCAGCGGTGTCTCCGGAGCCGCACTCGCCAATCGGGCTGCCGTCTCCTGGAAACCGACCAGCACCTCCTGACAATGGAAGCACTGCACCACGTGCTGGGCCACCGCCTGAAACTCCGGCCCGTCCAGCGCGTTCAGCGCGAAGGCAGCCAGTTCCTCCTCAGGATGTTCCGGCGGATGTTCCGGCCCGCCGTTGGGTAAACCAAAATCCTCAGGCCACATATTGTTCCAACGCCGCCTTGAGCTTCTGCATTCCCAGGCGCATTCTGGTCTTCACCGTGCCCAGCGGCTGGTTGAGCAAGGTCGCAATTTCGGACTGGCTGTATCCGTGCCACGCCGACAGCACGAGCGGCCGGCTCTGCTCGGGCGGTAATTCGGCCAGCGCGGCCCGCACCAGTTGGGCGTTGAAATTTCGTTCCACCTGCTGTTCCACGCTCAGCGCTGGATCCGGAATGCGGTGGATAACCTCCGCCTCGGCGGGGATCGTGTGGTCAGTCGTGCGCCGTCGCGAACGGTAGATGTCCACGATTTTGTGATGCGCTACCGACATTATCCAAGTGCCGGGAGCCGACATCTCCGGTCGATAGCTGGCCGACTTCAGCCAGATGTTGGTGAACACGTCCTGTACGGCGTCTTCGGCCAGCGCATCATCCTTCAGGATCGAAACGGCTAATGAGTAGATGCGTTGGGCGAATTTGTCGTTCGAAATGGCCTCCAGCACGGACTCGTCGCCCGCGGCCAGGTCCAGGATGGCCTGCTCATCGTCTCTGTTTCGGTGGTCAGTCACGGCCCCTCCACCGGGTGGCTCGGTTCGTACAATCGCGTTGTTTACTGACATGGGCCTGTATTGCTTAATTGTACGCCCCACCCGGGCAATCGGATTCATGGTTCAGACGACCAGACTGTCGAAAATTCCTTCCATATTGGGCAGATTTTCCAATGACCAGATTAGTTCCAGGGCCTGCTCGCATTGCTGCTGACTCCGCGTGATGTGGGCAGTGTTGGGGCCCACAAGCTTTGCGCGGATACTGGCGTCCACTGTCGCGAGTCGCTCAGCAGGGATTGCAGTACAGTGCCACCTTGGGAGGACGCTGTTTTGTGGCTGGCGGAAACTTCGGTCTGCTGACTAGTTGACGCTCTGATATCTCGATGCGTGCATGTCTTGTACTCGGCTGGATAACGCTCCGTGAATCGGACTGATTTGCAAACGATAGCATGCATCTTGTTGATGACTCTTTGTGCGCAGATCCCCGGCTCGCGATGTCGGTGTTCTTTAGCGCGAAGGTTGCCGGCGTAACGGCGCCATCCCGCAGTCCGACCGCGCCGTCATCGGAACTATGGTATGCATGGTGTCCGCGGGTTTCACTTGGGTCTGATGTGTATCCCACTCTCCGGTTCCAGTCGTATCGCGCTGCTCACCGTTTCAGATTGATAGGATTCGGATCTTGATGGCTCCGCTTTTTGATGTCCTCGATGTTGACCGTTCTCGCTGAGCGTGGTATGGACACAGGTCATTGGATCCGCCTGCATTTGTGCGTATTCGTGCGACGCGGTAGGTAAGTTTAGATTTTGTCTTAAGAGTCTTAATTTAGACGTATCCAGGACTTATGTCTGAAACGGTTTCATTTTTTACTCATCCGCCCATCGCTGCTAATCTCCATTTCTGGATCCAGCCAATCCGCCTGCTTCCTCAAGCACATTTTTTGTGGCAGACAAGTGCCTTTTGATTAAATCGGCGTTCGCCAGCGGCACTTTTTACCGTCATGCACTACAGCGGTCCTATTGCTGAGCCGCTCAAATGATTAGATCGCCTTCAGGCCCCTCGGAACTGCCGTAGTGCTAGCGCGGCATTGCGCAGCCCTTCCACATCGACAGCTCGCCCATGCGCGTGACGCGGCACGCGGAACACGTGGGATAGCGCCGCCAGCGAAACTGGCGTACCATCTGAACTCTTCGTCCAGCACACCATGCATCCATTGCCGGCGGCGCACGCGCCATCCACTGGGAATTGCGTGAATTGTGACTGCTGAAACATGAAATATGCCACCCTGATCTCCATCATCTGGTTCGCCGGCACCTGGTCGCGCGATCGGCAAAAACAACACACAATAGGCAGCGGTGGTAATGGCGGTAATCACCGTGCGCCCGTCGGCTCCCACGCTGTCGGCCACCGCCAGCGCCGCCGGAATCATGTCGCTCGGATGCCCGCCGCCCGGGGAAAAGTAGGAGTCGTTGCAATCCAGATACCGTACCATCACAGAGTCGCGGAGATCAAGAACAACGAACCAACACACGACACAAAACAAAAAACAAGCAATGCTCAGCGATGGAGTAGATCGCTGAGTGCCCAGGATTCGGGGACGGTGTGCGCTGCTCGGTGATGTCTCCAGCGCCAAGCCCGTCGGGCGATTTTGGCTGGTTCGCTCAGGTAACCGCCAATAGCGCAACCCAAAGTGTCGGCCACGGTGCGCTTAACCTGGTGCACTACCGCCGGCGGCAGGTCTTCGTAGGTAAGGTTACAGGCGTAAGAACTGAGCAACTCGGTCGTGCGGTCCATAAATTCCCCAATCCCTCGTGGATGTTGCGGGTGGATATTGCGGTGCGGGTTCCGGTTTCGCTGATGCGACAGCGGTGCGCCGCCGGCGGTTGGGCACCGCCCAGTTAGCGAATTACCGCCTCGGCCATGCGCTCCAGCTGATTCGCCATCTCTTCTTCGGTGTTTGGCGTGTGTTCAGGAGCGCCCAGCAACAGGTTGGCGCCAGGTTCGCAAGTCTGCACCATTGGGTCGGGAGCTTGCTAGTTACGAAGTAATAGTTCGTCAGAGACTTTGTGGTTCGCGGAGCCGCTGCGCGTAGCCGATCTCAGTAGCTTCTTCTTGGCTTGTCTGTCACATAGGCCGGGCCGTTCGTTAATTCCGATTGGGCAGCCAGGCATCGCCCAAGTGGCACGCCGTTGCCAGCACCCCCGCACGGGCAAACATCACCACCCAGGACTTACCGCGTGATGGGGCTGCTTGCACCCCGGATTGGGGTTGGATTTGATCAGCGGGAAGTCGTAATAGGTCCCGTGAAATTCAGCTTCGTCTTTAGTCCACAGCTCCTTCCAATCACCGCCAACCGCCTCAAGGCGTCTGCCTCCCCTCCCCTCCCTCCAATCAACGGGTATGAGTCAAGGTGTGGTTCAAACACAGCCGGAACACACAATTGCGGTTTCACTCCACACCGGTCACAGACGGGGTATCCCTGTCCAAAAATGAACGCCCCTGTAATTCGATCCAGCCCTGTCGGCCCAATTTCCTCCCCCTTTGTTTAACCTCCATACGCTCATACCGGTCGCTGCTCCTCTTCGCCTTCTCATGTTCGGGGCACCCTCATCGTTTCCCCGCCCCTTCTTCAATGCCACGTCTTCCCCTCAGCCAGTGATCGGTGGATCGTTCGAACCGCCCTCATGCCAGGGCCCACACGCGATAGGTACGGCGGCAAGTGGTGGTCGTACCGGTCCAGGGAATCTCCAGGCACGACGGAACACTGGCTAGCTGCCTCTGCACCACGCAATTTTAATTGCTTGGCTTTTGTGTTCCTTTTTTTGCCTCCACCTCGCTACTCCTAGATTTTTCTGGATTTCTTCTTTCTAAAACCAAGTCAGATTCCGCAGTTGCGCGTTCCACTCCATACTCAACATGACCGGGCTTGCGCAGTGGCTTTTATAGGCCTCTGCGCACCCTAGCTGCGTATCGATTTCCCCCTGTTTTTTTTTTCCGTTGACTTCTCTCCTATATCGGACTTTTCATTGCTGTCATGTGCTCGTAATCTGCTTTCTCTTCAATTTTCCTCCGTGTAAATTGTCAATTTGATTATTATCGGCAGCAGATACGGTTTTTCTATGCTGCCTCGCTTAACGCGACTATTCGAGTAAGTTGTTTCAGCGTGTTTCTTTTTCCCAATTACTGCTTCTGCCGACTACACTACCCCAAACGATGGAGTCCGTTAGTTGTCCTCTCTCTGCCTCAGTTGTTTTCTTCCCAACACTGGTGTTTTTCATTTTTTCCCTCCCTCGTTCCGTATGTTCTTGCCGGTCCAGCCATCGAACCTCTACTGTTCTGCGCGACTCCACAGCTTCCTTTTGTTAGTGCCCCCGCGCTTTCTCGCGCTAATAATTTTGTTGGCCGATTCTTTTTCTTTCCGGCTCTATTAACTACCGACTTTTTCTTTTATCTCCTGCGCATTTTGGAGTCTATGCCGCAGATGTTTTCTTTCCACTTGTGCATCTCGGCTTTAATGTCTCGTCACTCCGTCTCTCGGGTTTTTTTTAGAACCTGCCGTTCCGCTGCTGGACTTCAGTTCAAGCCGTATGTTGCATCGTTTTTTTTTTTCGCCCCCGCTCACTGTTTCAGTCGATCGTCGCTAATTTATTGGACCGATTTTTAGGCCTTGAATCTTCCTCTACGCTACCTCTCCCCCTTACCGCATTCTCTTTTTCTCTCTCCCTTCTTTTTCTTTTTTCCCATACCAACCAGGTATTCCTTTTCTTTTTTTTCCTTTTTCTCCGCATGGCGGCTCTTTACCCCCCCTCTTTTTTTAGCTTCACCCTTCCCTTGTGCCTTTTGGCTCCTCCGAGTCGGCGGATGCCCCGCCTCAACCCCGTCTTCATCCAGTTGTAGGTTTCGTCCTAATTTGGCGGCCGGCGAACCGTACACCTTTTCTCGGCCAGCTTGCATGTTCGATTGCTCTTCTTTCCTGCCCTCTTCCACGTCGTTGACGTCGGTCCACAGTCCCGATCACAAGCGGGGTCTTGGCCCCCGCTGCTGTCACTCCCACATAACGCCGTTCGTCATTTTTCTCCCCCCCTTACTT